ATTGGGCTACAGGGTGCCGCCGTATATCGACGACTTTTTGATAGCACCTTGTCGGTATGGGCGCCCTTCTACACGACAGGATTGCAAAAGGGCGCGGTAGCGGCTCTTGGGGCTGTTTGGAAGGTTGGGTATTGTGCGCCATGGAACGAAGGGCTGTTGGGAAGGGAGTCGCCAGCTGGATCACCTAGGGATGCACATGGACACGGAAGCGATGAAAGTCTATGTGTCGGATGCCTAGGTAAGGAAGGTGCGTGCGCTGGGGAGGAGGATCTTTTTGTTGGCCCAGAGGAACAGAGGGTTGGTGTCGGTCAGGTTGCTACGGCATTTCTGCGGCATGTGCGTTTCATTGTCGCTCGCCGTACCCCTCGCCCGCTTTTACACGCGCTCCAGATACTTCGACATGTCTCTCGCGGGACGCAAGGAGGGAGGATCAAGTTGAAAGGTGAAACCCCGAAGCAAGCCCGCACGCTCCAAGTGGTACTGCCTGAAACCTATCCGCGACGACGAGGCGCGAAGCGCACGGGGGTGCGGGGGCGGAGCCACGGCATGGTATCCAGGCTTGATGGATGGCGACAAAAGAGTATCCCAAGGAGCCGGTCAGTTGAGGGGGCGAGACGCCGACACCAGTCAGTTGGGGGAGAGAGGTGGGAAGGTGCGGTTGAGTCGGCAGTCGCTCAGGGACCTTCGTTATTGGCGTTCATTGACCAGGGGGGAAGGACGCGATCTCGTGCGACTCGACCCGCACCTGGCGATGCACAGCGACGCAGCGGATGTGGGCTACGGCGGCACGCTGGGATTCGATATGGGGCAAGGAGTGCCGGGTTTGTGGCAGGGTCGCGGTTTCTGGAAGGCGGACGATCGAGCGCAGTCGATTACTTTGCGAGAGTTGAAAGCCGTCCGACTCCTGTTGTACCGACACTTCGCCCACTACGTATCCAAAACCCCGGGTGCGACGAATCCTGTTGCACGAGGACAACCAGGCAGTGGTCTACATCCTCAACGCGATGGTTTCGGCGTCGAAGAAGATGATGACGGAACTGCGGAAGTTGGAAGCTCTCCTGCGAGTATTGGGCGTGCGCCTGGAGGCGCGTTGGATTCCGTCCGCCGTCAACCGCTTCGCCGACACGCTGTCCAGCACGTGGGACCCGGGCGATGTTCGCGCAACTTCGGAATTGATACAATCCATACAGGCGGAGTATGGTGTGGATCACGTGGTGTTCAAGGACCGGCCGCTGGGGGAGACCATGGTGGCGCGACGGAAGTACCTATCGACTCAGATGCAAGAGAATTGGGGAGACGGGAAGGGGCGGCTATGGAATCCGCCCTTCGACCTGCCGCCGGTGGTAGTTCGCAAAACCGAGGCGGAGGGTGGTCGGGGTGTCTTGTTGGCTCCGAATTGGCCGGCGCAAGCATGGTACGCGCGCTTGCGCGCTTTAGCGTGTCGCGTTCAAGTCATGCCACCAAGCGCCGATTTTCCGCTGCTGGTCGGCAGAGAGGGCAAGGGGGACGCTTGGCCGATGGTTGTCGCACAGATCGGATAGGGGAGAGTTGGAAGGAGGGGATTGTTGCTTCGGTGTTGTCAAGAGCGGGTACGGATACGCCTACTGGGGGTGCCGAGGAGGCAGCGTCGCTGTTGGCCAACTTCGGTTGGAGGAAGCCCACGTGGACGAACCGATCGAGTCAGATTCGTAAGTGGCTGGCTTTCTGCGATGAGGAGCTAAGGGTGCTGCTGCCGGCGGAAGAAGGGGATGTCCTCGCATACATTGGCTACCTGTCACTTGAGGGAAGGGTGAGTGCTGCCTCAGCGCCGCAATACGTCTCGGAAGTGTCGCAGTATCATATCAGCCATGGGTATGCGTCCCCCACCCTGACCCTCTCAGTCAAAGACTTTTTACAAGCCTTCGCGAACAAAGAGGACCAGACCAACTCCGAGCAGTTGGTCTGGGTTGGATATGGGGCTGATGTGATGAAACGTGTGCTGGAATTTGGCCTGATGGCCAGTGATGTCGAGAATGTTGGGGTGTGTGTCGCGGTTGTATTTTCCTTTATTTTCCATTGCCGAGCCGTTACCGTGGCATACGTCGCACCTATGGATGTGTCAGTCACGTCGGAGATAGTCACAGCGCATCTGAAACACCGGAAGGGGAAATCGCTCCGCCGACCGCTCATCCCATCTTGCGCTTAGAGTCCGTCCTGGCCGCCGGGCTCGGGCCTGGACACCCTACTACTTCGCTGGTTTTCCATGCGCCCGGTATCCGCGGGTCTCTTCGATCTAAGCCCTACGAACCGCCTGGGTACTGCTCGCCTCGCTCCCGCTGTGTCCCGGGCGCTCGGGCTCGTGAACGCTGTCCCGCCGTCTGGTGCCTACTATGGCTCTCATAGTCCGCGCATCGGGGGGTTTAATGAGCTCCTCAATTTACATTACCCGAAGCTTTGGATTATGCACCGTCTTGATTGGTCGTCTGAACGGATGTTTTCCGTCTACTTCGACAGCCGCATTGTTCTCACCGCCATGTCGGAGTGGTTCTTTGGCCACCTTCGTGCTGCGCCTGTGGCCCCTCCGCTTTAACTGGACCCTTCTCGTCAGTATACACATGTATGTGTATGCGGGTGAAGAATCATCCTGGGAGTAGCGAGCGGCCTTGACAGTGTAATGACAGTATGCCGAGCGTCGCCGTCGCCGTTCCACTTATAAGCCCTTCTCCGAGGTCACCGTGTAGTTGGGCCACGTGGTAATAGGCCACGTGTGCGGGCTAAAGCGCCGGCGGCGACCGGCGCTGCCGACGGATAATTTAGGTCTACAATTTTATTGAAATAGCGCCGACCAGAATTGGTCGGCGCACCGGGGGGCTAGAGCAGGCTACGACCCCGGGGGACATTGTGCCCTTCCTTCTTCGCCGCGCGACATCCCTCTCTCGCGACTATTGTTCCCCCCCCTCGTTCGCCCTACCGCTGCGCGACGCGCGGATACTACGAGCCGCCACCACCCGCAACCATACACCGTCTCCGCTCTGAGGCATGTCTATTTCTCTTTCCCACCCAGCCCCGCTCCGCGCTATGTTCGCTGGCTACTCTTCTCTACATGTCTATTTCTCTTTATGTTTCTTTTCCTGTTTTACATTTGTCCCAGAGTTCTATTTCACGTACTTCTACCACGCACTGGCGTATAGTACTCCGATTAGCGGGTATCTTTAGGCTTCAGTAAATCAACACAGAACTCTTCATTCTCGAAAGGAGACACGCGCGCCCATATTTTCTGAAATTTTGGTCTACCAAACATGCAGCAGAGAGATATGCGACAGATTGTGAATGCAGCGGTGGGGTCCAGTCCCATGCCGACCCTTTGCCCAAATCGTCGCTTGCCCTAGTGATAGTCGAGCCAATCGAAATGTGCCAGCTGTCAACGTTTTAGAGTTTTTGGCGAGCCGCGGTGGGGTCACCCTACATGTCCAAATTTTCGCATCCCAACTGTACTTCTTATATTTACCGTTGGGCTTGAAAAGCATGGAAGGTCGGCCGTGCAGTAAATGACTTCTTCAGCTCTTTAGAGTCAATTCCACCGAGGCCCTCATGCGAAAGTCATCCTTGGGAGTAGAGACTCAAAGGCTTTCTTGGACTAGCCATCGCGCCCGGGCTATAGGCTTACCGGGGGAATTTAATCGTATCCCACAGGCTCGCAAGTCGTGAAATGTGCCAGCGCCGTCCCCGGCGCAAAATCGAACTAGAGGAAAGCTGTGAGGATATGTGAGTGTCCTTATGCGAGCAAACGGCATCGCGCCAAACTGCGTGCCAGATAAGTTGATTTTGACATCCCTATACTGCCTTTTCACTGAAAGGGGGCTGTGTCATCCGCATTGATGCTTTCATTCACACCGGAAACGGATTCGACGAAGCACGACAAAGAAGAGACTGAAATTGATCATGCTCTGGTTGCTGAAGCTCGGTATGTCGCTCTCGCAATTATTTGAGCCTTGGTCGCATTGCGGACATGGTGCATTTTCTTCACAGAGTGCCGTTCTTGCGCAGAATAACCAGGGCATTGCGCCGCTTTGCGAAAGATGATGTAGTAGGCGTTATTCTAATATAATATCCACTTTCTTAACTTCCTATCTTTTCATTATTTGACGGCCCTATTATGAAGATTACTGGTAAACTCTTACCGCGAAGCGCAATTCGGTGAAGCGAGGACGAAGATATGGAGCAACCTTCGCGAGAATTCAGAGTCCGTCAAACGCGAGACAATTGAGCGAAACGCATACATTCGAGCTGTCAATGCTCGAGATATCGCTCTACTGAAACAAAATACCAAGGTAAATCCAAGTGCAAGCGAGGATATTGTTGTGGTTTCTGTTACTCGAAGTGAAGACGACATCTCACTCTTACGTCTGAATAGTATTCAGTACGCATGTTTGAGACATATCAAGAAAATATCCATCCAGAAAGCAGTTAGGTTACCAACATATGACGCATGGGTGCCAGTCATTCAGAACCATTTTGTTGATGATCTCGATGTCGAACCATACCACCCTTACTTCGGAGATTCCAAAGAACAAAGAGATTTGGCGAAGGGGGTTTTTGACACAATGATGTTCGACAAGGACATTGGTCCTTTCGATGAACCTAGCGATGCTGAAATTGGTCCAAGTGGAAGGTTGTTGCCGAGAAAGCCACTAGTGGAAAATGGTGTCTTCAATGATTTGCAATCAATTCGCAACAGGGCGGCTCAGAGACACGGTATTTTGGTCATGACCCGGCGCCATGGGAAACTGAAGCAGGTCTGGGCTGCACTATCCGAAGCTTTCGGAATCGCCGATGCTCGTCGCTTGGAATACATCTGCAGTTTGAGCGAGAGGCGGGAGTGCGAAAGCATAAAGCATGCGGCGAAGATGCAGAAGTCACGGATCTATGCTAATGCCATTCGGCAAGTAGCCCAGACCAGTACATGCGAAATCGTTCCAACGCATCAGAACAAGTCCAGTCCCGCGACTGGTTCGTTGAAAATGTTCTGTTTCGCATGCCATCGATTTGCGTGTCATCTACACAGCAGTGAGAACGTCGCTCCAAAAAAACTTATCCCAGATCACGCTGCTGAAGGACGCAGACGTGCAATTCGCGGGGGAGGCAGACTGCCGCCTCCGTGTTCCCAGTGCTGCTTTCTTCGGGCAACTACTTCTAGGCGCCCTGTAGGAGAAAGGGAAGGAGAAACATGGACAGAGGAACAAATCCAAATTCTACGACAAGCCGCCCTGATGTTTGGAATTGACCCATGCTCACTAGCAATCGTTCTGGGCGGAAAAACCTGCAGAGAGGTCTATGAACGACTAAATTGTGCAGAGGAGGCGAACATGATTGAAGATCTTAGACATGCTTGGCATTTGAATGACCATGTGAGGGGCCCAAACTACAACAGTGATGACGACGAACCTATTGCCCGGGGTTCTAGAAAGCGTCGGCGTCGAAAAACGAGGGAGAACCCCACTGCTAAAAAGAGCGCACTTGTTCCCGCAAAGTATGGTTCTCAGTGTACCATCGAGGAGAGAAAGGGATTCAAACCATGCAACCATGAAGGGGGCTGTTTCAAGAAGAATTCATGCATATGTGCTATCAATAGCCTCAACTGTGAGGCGCAGTGTGGGTGCAGGTGCGGCCGTTATGTTGCGGGACTTAAAGGAATGAAATGGGAAGCCCCCTCTGAGGAGGACATTAGAGCGGGAGCTGCCGCGAAATGCAAACTGAGGTCTTGGGGATGTAAGTGTAGAAACGGGCATTGCAATACGAGTCGATGCGACTGTTTCGTGTACCTGAAAGCGTGTAATCCGGACTTTTGCAGTTGTGATTGCTGTATCCTCCCATCGAAGATATCTGTTCGACAAAGACAGTGCCGAAGTGCAGGCACAATCACATCGATACATAAGCGGATTCTGATCGGGCGATCTACCGTACATGGTTTTGGTCTGTTTGCGGCGGAATCTTTTGCAACAGGTGATCTTATCGGGCAATATTGTGGCCGTATCATGAGCCCCGAACTAATTACCAAAAGTCTGAGGATTCCTCAGGCGGAAAAAAAAACGTACGCTTTTGAAATGACAGATTCTCTGACTGTGGATGGTGGGTCAATCGGTAGCAAGGTGAAGTTCATTAACCACAGTGTGGAGCCCGCGAAAATCAACTGTGAGGCTCGGATAGAAAGCGTGCGGGGGGCTGGACGCGTTGTGTTGAGAGCATTGAAGACGATATGCCCCGGGGAAGAGTTTCTTTTTAACTACAACCTACTAGACGAGGAAGGAAATGACTGGATGATCCAAAAGAATACCGGCGCAGCTGAGGAAGACTTTGAATCGGAATCGGAATCGGATTCATATTCATCGGGACAGACAAGTGACGCGGGGTATTCACAGCTTTTGTTCGACCCTGCTGAAGTAGCTCGTGAAGTAAAGGAAGAGGACCAGGAGGCACTGTTGTGATATATCCTTAGCTCTATGATGCTTTGCTTCATGCGGAATGCCCACGCCTGGAGGCACGTACTCCTCTTGCTGTCTCCCGCTCGCCTATCAAACGCTGTACGGTGGCAGAAGATGCAGTGTAGTCATCTTTTGAGGGCCTGGACTCAGTTCGCTGCCCCAACAATATATTATTTAGGGACCGGAGCTGAGGGGTGCATCTGCATCAAACTACATGGGGCTGAACAGAGCAGACATCTACGCTCGGCTTTCGGCGTGCATGACATTAAAGGTAATGAAAGAGAAACTTCCTCTACTCTCTACGGATAACCCCCGATTGGCAGCTCATTCTCATGCTGGCTTTACAGATCAAATATGTTAGGCGGAAGGCAGGTGCAGTTTCACACATCATTATCACAGAACGCAAACAATCGCGACATATGAACGTGTACCCGCCCAATTTTCGACATGTCGAAATCGACATGTCGAAATATAATCCCAGGCAGACCAATGCCAAACCCTGTCCCAATGATCTTAGGGTGCCCAGTTCTCCACGCACTCACCCGTCAATTTGTTACAACTGAAGCTGTTGCTACCGCCGAACCTGGGGTTCTGATAGGCGAAGACATTGTCATATTCCGCCCCGCACGCCGAATCCACACACAATCCCATGGCAGCCTTTCCAACAAAGGGACAATACCTCTCCGGGTCCGCCTCCGCCGCCAGTGCATACGAGTAGCGACAGGCGACCGTGTCCCCTGCCAAGCCGACAACGGAACTCTCCTCCTCGCCAAGCTTTGCGCACATGACCTGCTTTTCCCGCTTCAACTCTGCTACGAATTCCTGGCATTCCCGATCACTGGCATAGGGCGACAGAGCCCCACACCCGGTGGCAATCCTGCTGCATACCTCCTCTGGAGTGCGGTCGTACATGGTAACAGCGTTCGGGATGTCAGGAGGATAGTAAAACTGGGTCGCAAAGTAGTTGATAACGCCCTCCTCCACAGCATACGCATCCAAAATCTTATTTGAGCAAGGCTCAAACCCAACGAACATATACCGCGTCTGCGTGGCGGCATTAGTGCTTGAAAAGCTACGTTCGTAGCTCACCGTCGACTCACGCCAGAACACCTTTGTCATGGACGAGCGCGAAAACTGCAGTACCCAACCATTCCCCGCGCCCAGCAGAGGTTGGCGGGCGAGAAGCAGGTGAATAGCATGTTCGACACTGAAGTTAGACGACAAACCGATTGAGGCAACCAAGGGCCAGTCGGTAAAATACTTCCTAATCTTTGCACGGAAATCAGCCGTAGCACTAGAGGAGGTTTCGGTGAGCTCAAGATGGTCGAGCTCGTAAAGGATGTTTTCCCTGCTCCTCCTTAGTGCGGCCGGATTGTTGCACCCCTCGGATTCATCCACGGCGCGGTGCGATGTGTACTCGGGCGGGCAGCTATCTTTCGTCGGAGGCCCGTCCCTGCTCCAGAAAGCGGGGATGTGGGGCTCTTCGACTCCGCATTGTTTGTAGCGGAGCGCGAAAGCGTACTGGTTGCCGGCGAGTTGGGTGGCGAGCGAAAGGGCAACGGGCTGGCACCAGCACAAGGCGTCATTGAATCGGCGGATGACGGGGCAGCATCGCTTGGGGGAAGAGGTGGTGAGGGGACCGCAGAAGCGGATAAGGTCACCGAAGATGGGACCGCAGCTGGAAGCAGATTGTGCCGCGACGAGAGGGAGGAGGAAGAGGAGGAGGAGATGCATCGTTTGATGTGGGGGGAGGAACCTGGAACCTGGATGGCGGCCATTTAGCGGCTCGGGTGAGAAAGTGGGGGGGGGGGGGGTATGGATAGGATGGCCCGGGCTGTAGCTGAACCCGGGGGGGGAACAGACATAGGGGATATGGGATGAAGGCTTTGTTGGGCGTGTATGGCATAAACGAATGAAGGAAACCGGGACATTTGCGTGCGCCTTCTACAGTATGGTAGTGTGCGGGGCAGGGAGATATGTACAATGGTCGCTGATGTCGGAATGTGTACGTACTTTTTTTTTCTTTTTTTCGAAAGAATGTGCCATGCGAACCATGTAGTCGTAAGGCTGATTTCTCACGAGGCTGTTGAGAGCGGCAACGGCGACGTGGGGCGTGTTCTTTGTGACGTTTAAAACTCTGGAACATACCCACGCAGGGAACGCGGATTCTATTCAACACTGCAAGCAGCACGTGGAGGCTGTGAGAACGCGTCTTTGAAGAAAGAGAACTGGAACGGTTGGCCAACATTCGAGACTCCCTCTGCTGCCCGTCACATCCTGCTTGACTTTGAGACGAGGCATGCTGCAGCAGAGGCCGTGTAGCCCCGTGCTGCAGCACTTCGCCATGGTGAGGGAGTATTGAGTCAATGACTCGTTTCTACAAAGCTGTTGCTTTGAAGACGAATGCCGTTTGTTTTGACACTTTACACAAACAGCCATAGAAGTCTCCAAATTGTCTACATCTGCCACGTGGGTGACGTGGAAGAAGTGCCGTTTCCGCCATACAGTACCCTAGGGTAACGTTGTCCGCAAAGTAAACGCGTGTTTTTGGCTGCAGAAACCAAAACTGGTGGGTCGCAAAGTAAATTATAAAACTGGAAATTCAACCACGAGTTTTCAGAAGCCATGCGTAGCAGGCCTTCTCGATGTCATCATCGACCTGGAAGGCGCTTCAACCCATCCTCACGTGACATTTCTTACAGCTTAACCAGTACAGGGGGGGGTCGCTCAATAGTGCCTACTTTAGTAGTGCTTCCCTCTATATAGTGCTATGGCTCACCCTCTGGCACAGGTTATCATACGCTCACACGTGTATCATCCGGCATGGTTCAGTACTCAAAGGATGAAGTTATTTAGTTGTGTTATACAGGCTTTGTTGTGTTTGTGTTAGCAGTGTGCTTTGTCCCCAAATATATGTATTTGAGCCTCCTTTCTATAGTGCCATCCCCCCAATAGTGCCATAGCTAGAGGTATGTCACGCTATAGCACTATATCGTAGGAGGCACTGTATGGCCGGCCGTTGACGACTCATCATCTTCTCTCACTCACACACAGAACCAGGCATCACCTTGAGCACACTGCCCGTTCTACAGAACCTGATTTCCATCTCAAAGCAACACCAGCAAGCCGCACAAACCTCGAGCATGCAAATCATCCTATTTGACGACACTACAGGAGATGTGGATAAGCGGGACGTCCCCGTGAACCTCTTGGCTCCAAAAATTGAACGCCTGCAGATTCTTCTTGACGCTCATAGCACTGCTATGAGCGTATTATGGACTTAAAGATACTGCTATTATAGCATTATCTTGAAGTCCATAGTAGGCTTCTATCTATCGTAATGGGAGCGATTGTGTCAAAGGACTGTCCCCACTTTAATTGCTAACAGTGCGGCGACTGGGTTGCCCAAACGCAAAGCAGGACGCCCTACTAGCCTCGATGCACAAAATGGCATGTTTCGAACGTTTGACTCTGGGTGGTAGCGCGTCGCTCTGCGGTCGTTTTGTGGCAATGCGAGGGACAGCTTCGATAGAGCCGGTGTCAGGGATAGATATAGGTGTGCCAGGCGTTTCTTCGCGTGCGTTAGAGACAGACGAGGAGCCCATACTTGAGTTTGAAAGGGCTTTGCAGGAGGTGTGTGACATTGTGTGAACGGGGCGAATGGTTCGAAGAATGGTGGTGGTGTGTGCGGTTTGAGGCCGAAGCGCTACAGTGGCTGTCAAAACTCACGTAAAACTCACATGCAGCGCGTTTTGGAGGTCCTGTGAGTTTTGCAAAACTCGTTGTTCGAAAATATTTCTGCCAGAAATTTTGATCAAACTCGTTGTAAAAACACGTGTTTTCCCGACTTTGCGGACAACGTTAAGTATCATACAATTATTACTATTCACTTCCTCCCTTTCTGTCGCACTATCACCTTCTCTCAAGCCCTCGTTCTCGTCTTCTTTCCTGCTCAACTCTTACGCTCCGCTCATTCTCCCATGTAGCAACAAAGTACTTCCACGATGTGTGGCACTTGCTGTACGCACGCCAATGTCCTGAAGGAATTCCCTTGCACCCATCCATCATCCAAACTCTACCACATCGGTGTCTTCACCCTTTACCCCGATGGCGTCCTTTTTCCCGGGGAGCGCGCTACCCTGGACATCTTTCTCGCCTCCGCTCTCCGCCTAATCTCTGCTCTTCAAACAACAGGCCTTCCCCTGCACCCCACCCCACCCTCCTGGCTCCAAGCCCCCACTATCCCTATCACTGACGCCTTCGCCATTGTCTCTGACCCCATCGCCCCGGTCGGCGCCATCGCCGTCTTCGACCCGGACCTAACTACAGGCTCCTCCACAACGCACTATCCCACATTCACCCGGGTCCGCATCCGCATCGCCGGCCGCTTCTCCCGCGCCGCTCCCATCCACCACCACGCCCCCTTTCCCTGTGCCCAAGTCCGCCTCATTTGCGACTCTCACCTGCCCAGCTTGCGGGTCCCGCTCAGCGAGGACTTTCCTTACTTGAACCCCGCCCCGGCTGCGCGCAAGAGGGCCGCCAGCCGCCCTATCAAGACCCGCGCCGCCGCCGCTGGTCTTGCTGCTGTGCGATACGTACACAGGCGAAGGACCTCCGCCTTCATGGGCGGGCTCGATTACGCTCAGTGGCGCGCCTGCACCCCGCAAGTGCTCGCACACCGCGCCAGAACCCTCGCCATGTACTCGCGCCTCGATATTGATGGCAGCTTGATCGAATGGCGCCCATGTCACGAGGCCTGTCCCGGTGTTTGGTCGTTCTGGCTGTGTGCTGCGCTGCCCGCAGATACGGTAGAACGTGTTTTGCATGAGCTGTTAGGGACGTCCTGTTTGGTCACGAGGTTGCGGTGGTTGATTGAGTTGTTCAAGAGCCGACCGAGGAAACGGTCGAGGGCGCAGCTGGAGGAGGATAAACCATATCAACCGAGTTCTAGTCGGAAAAGGACTCGCAAATCAGTCAGGCAAGCTTTGGGGGAGGAACAACTGTTGCAGGTGAAAGCGCTGACAAATGCAAAGGGGAAGAAGGCCGCTATGGCTTCATTATTAGATGGGCTTCGGGCTCGACCCTGGCCGTCATCGCCGGCGAAGGGTTTTCAGCGGGTGGACCTCTCCTCTCCGGTCAAAGGAAGATTCCGAATAACACTGCCATCCATGAGTGATACGACTCGAGTGAAATTAAATAGTCCTAGTAAAGAAGGTACAACAGAAAGATAGGCTCTGAGCCATCTATCATCCTGCCTTATCTATCTGCTTTGCTAGCTTGCGCTCCAAGATGTCGAGATTCGTCTGTACTGCAGCACAATTCGCCTCCAAGTTTTTCGATACATTCGCGATCAAGTTTCCGTTGATTTCGCTTCTCTTCGCCAGTGAATCCACCTGCTTTCCCAGTGCAGCTAAACTAGCAACGAAGTGTCCTGCTTCTTCCTGCAGCCTTTTGAAGCATCTCAGTCTTTCTACCACGATTGGAACAGTGTCAGCAAGTCGCTCCCATTTCTCCATCTTCTCTAGGACTGTTGCCGATTTCACAAAGCCGGCACCCTGCTGGCTTTCCAGCTCCTTCTGTAAAACTTCAGCAATCTCTCGTGCGTCCCCCTTCAGCCGCTCTGCGAGGCTTTCGTCGGTGGCGAACTCGACACGACCTTGAATTTCGCGCAACATGTCGGCCATTGCCTTTCCGTTGCAGAACTCGCTTTTATGAGTGAGCCCTATTGAACGCTCCAGTGCTGAGACACGCCCTTCAAGAACAGAGACTGCTGTGACATCTAGTGAAACAAGTTGAATCGTGAGTCCAGCGCTCACATTGGTACTCTCTTCATCCGTAATATCCTTTCTGGGATGTCGCTGTCGAAGAAGAAGAGAGGGGGGAGTATTGGCTGCCTCCTCAATTCTTTTTAATTGTGCGCGAAGCGTTGATAGATCTTCCAGTGGGTCTGCTGCTTCTGCCGAGTTGATGCTAGTCTGTGTTTCAAGGGAATCAAGCTCGGCAGTGAGGCGTGCAATACACTCCTTGCGAGACTCACCAGCTGGGTTGCGACGAGGAGCATGTTTTGGGACATCGTTGGTCGCTGCTTCTGCATAGATAGCCGAGGAAAAATCTGCCCCAGGTTGACCTGCTGTGGATCTGGTGAAAAACTTGATAAAGGCCTCTTCAGGAGCGAAGATTTCTTCCGGCTCATCAGATGAGCCAAAATATTCGGGTTCTGTATCGCACTCTGATCTGGGTTCCAACTCAACCGCTGAGCGCGAGGAGAAGATATCAGCCGAGCGTGCATTGGGTGTAGAGGTTGACCCGCGCGAATCGCCCTCAAACACTGAGGGCTCGTTGGTAGGTTCATTGTAAAACCACTCCATGGCGCGTATAGAGACGCCTTACCAAATCGTTTTAGCGATCAACGCAGCGGGGGGTATAAATACTGTGCATAGGCGCAAACATATGGTAAATGGAATGGAACGCGGGTGTTGGTAATTGATCCGTGCTATTAATTTAACAAAACTCGACTCAGTTCGTGTCCCGCCATTTTTATTTGTGCTTTGCAAAATTTCTTCCTTGGTCAAGGCTCCGAATCATCAAAGAAAGTGTCTAGAGAAGGCCTTACTACAGTTGCTGTACCATCAAAACGTCGGTTAGGACTTCCGCTTCGTCGCTTTAGGACGTCGGCGTTCCTCCAACCAGGGCGGCAAAGAGTAGGCGCAGTCATCTCGTGTCCCAGGGTCGACAATCTTGTAGTCGAAGAAAAACTCTTCTCCTGGATGTACAGTTCTTGATGCAGTCAGCCTGTGATGCCGATGACGACGAACTCGAATCTCAGACGCTTGACAGTTTGGCGCCTCCCAAGCTTCCTTGTGGTTTATGAAGCGGACTTTAGCTCCTAATGTCGTTCCGTCCACGGTCGCATTTCGAATGTCAAAGGTGTACATTTTGTTCGACAGATCTCCGACAGCGCTCCTTCCATCAACAATTTCCGCCGGTAGCAGAGCCCCAGCGTACACACCGACAAGATCCCCCTTCTTGAATAGTTCTCCCGCAAATAAACCAAATCCTGCTTCCTGGGATCGTCCGACGAAAGTCTTCTTGTGCGCAAAGACTTGCAGATTTCTACACGTGCGCTCCCCAATTGGCCTATCCCACGGTCCGAGGCCACAATCGCAGTGACAACGCTGTGGATCACAAGTCTTTTCAAGAGTGGTGCTACAAGGACATTCTTCCGGATCACACATTCCGCCCACACAACGGCAGAATCCAGCTCCGTTTCTGCATACATTCCCAACTGACGTGATTCTATTAAAATTTTCCGAGACGGAGAACCGCTTTGCATTGCAGGCGCAAGAGGATTCGCACTGTGTCTGAGTCTTAACACACGGGCATGTGTCTGTACATTCTCCGACGTGGCTGCAAGGGCGAGAGAACCAGTTCTCGCTATTCTCCATTACACTTAGTGTGCTCTTCCTCGCAGTCTGACTATTCCCTTTCTTATTCCGCTCACTTCTGCCCCGCCTCTGCCTTCTCGAGCGTTTATAATTGGCGAGCAAAATTTCGTCGTCACCTTCTGAGGACGCACAATCGTCCTGAGGATCTTCTAATGCATTGACCATGAGTTGAAAGTGCTCTCGCAGTTGCTGATGTTCCTTCGTTCTTCCACTTGCTTTCAGTGCTTCGAAGGCACCCTGCATCCTTCTGTGTCCTTTGTCCGTGTGTAACTTCCTTGCTACTTCACGACATGTCCGTGAGCCAACGACTAATGCCAAAGAACATGGGTCCCTTTCAAATAAGCGGAGAGCCTCGAAAAGTAATTCGACCTCATCATCATCCCATTGCTGTTGCTCATGCGCCACAAGGGGACAACGGTCGATCCCTTTTGTGGCAAAGCAACTCTGCGAGCACGGCTTGTGTGATCCGAAGCCCATGTCCAAGAGACGTATTCTCTGGCACTCATCTGGGATCGGTAGGATAGGGATTGGTCGATGCTCTTCGTGGAGGTCACAAATGAACTCCTGGCACGTAAAACAAAAATGTATCAATGAATTCAATGTCGGCGTATTCCGTGGATGTCTATCAGACTTGTTTGGATGTCGCAAGACTCGGTCGAGAGCAGCTGTCTTGATTTCAGTGCATTTCTTGAGCTTCTCCTGTTTACGCTCCTCCACGAAGCGCCTTTCGGCAAGCTTAAAATGGGCCATAACTGTCTTTATATCTGGCAACTTCAAAGCATCCCGCACGGAATTTACGGTTTTTATTCCCTCTCCGTACTTGGGTATGATGCGCATGACGACATGACGGGCTGCTGCTCTGTTGCGCACGTCTGCAAGAGTGTCATTTCTGCTCATTTCATCGACAAAGCCACGAGGGGCGAAAAAACCGGAAACTTCGTCGACCTCGCCGTCGCTGGGCATATCTAATGCACACTTTTTCGCTTCTTCTTTTTCCATCATTTGCAAAGCTTTGTGCGAAAGGATGACATGATCGTCCTCGTTTCCAAAAAAAGGCAAGTAAGTCTCGGCGGGGGTTTTGATAAGAAAATTTTTGTAGACCGGTGCCCATGTGGTGTAGGGAGGCAGTTGTTCGAACAAAGGAATGATAACAGGATGTCGTCGGGGTAATTCCAGCGCGGATATAGAGCATAACGTTCGATAAAATATTGCAGCATTGTTTCCCTTTCTCTTCCTCAGATGGGTGTGGCCAATTGTTTGTTCTTTGCCAGACGGAGGATCGATCGAAATGATCCCATCTTTCTCTGTCGGGAATTCATGAAGATTGAATTCAATATTGTCTGCCAACGCGGTCAAAATAGCTCTTCTGGAGTATGCGGCCTTTGCCAAGAGAAAGTCATCTTGCAATGCTCTGAAATGGGAGCAAAGCAAGTAGTGCAGAAGCAACGATTGAAGAACAAATGCGAGCATTACATATATTAGAGTCTGAGTCAAGCAGTGCAGCAATGGTGAATAGATTAGGGTAGGGCATGACTCACCTTGCTTCGGCAACGACGGAGGTATCGATCTGTTTGTCTGAGCTTACGGTAGCAGTCGCCATCCCTTTGTGACATGCGAAACACGGCCCTGGAAGTGGAAGGATGGATGAAGAAATGGGTTGTAGGGCGGCTACGGACGGCCTTGGCCTTGCATATCGCGCGACGTCACATCACCAAGTGAAGAGGAACTCGCAATCCTGAGCAAGGGCGTAGGCAGTTGTGGGCATTGCGGGACGGTGGTGCCCCTCGATGGGTCTCGTTGACAGCTTGGTCGCACTGTCCACGTGCTGTGGGTGTAAGCAGAGACACGAAAGCTGGGAAAAGAGATAAAATATTTGATCCGTCCTGATTTTGCCGATTTCCGCAGCAGCCTGCCAATTTCAGACTTTCCCTTTTCTTTGCTTTGTTGATCCTTGACGTTGCGCCTACTGTATGATACCAATTGGTACTGTATCTCAACCCTTCATACGCAATGACGGCTGCTATCTCTATCATACTGTTTGCCACACTGTATGAGAGCACCACATCTCCTCAAATCTCTCCGACCAAATCCTCTCATTTACCCCATCCATTCCCGTTCCCGCTCGCCTTCTTCTTGAGTACCTCTCCGCCCAAAACCTCTTCGCACGAGTGCAGCGATGGCAACCCCGTGCTTCGCCCTGGCGCCCGCCCCCACCCTACGGCGATCGCCGCGCTGTCTCCCCCTCACCCCGACCTCCTTCCTGCCAAGGCCCTTCCTGCCGAAGCCCTTCCTGCCGAAGCCCTTCCTGCCGAAGCCCTTCCTGCCGAAGCCCTTCCTCCGCTCCCCCCGCCACCTGCATCCCCGCCTCAACGCCGCCTCCGCACGCGCCTCCGCCTCCCCCGCCACACCCTTGCGCGACGTTTCCGTCATTCTGCTGGCGGGCGGCACCGGCTCGCGCATGAAGGCCGACCGCCCGAAGCAGTTCCTCCCTCTGGCGGGCATGTCCGTCGTCGAGCACTCGCTGCTGCTCTTCGCCAACATGCCGGAGGTGTCGCAGCTGGTCGTCGTCGTCGACCGCCAGCATCGCCATGCGTTTTCCGCACTTGCGGATGGGCTGCAGCAGAGGCTGGTCTTCGCGGACCCGGGGGAGGAACGCCAGGATTCCGTGTTCAACGGCCTGCAGCGCGTCCCGCCTGACGCCTCCCTAGTGTGCGTGCATGACGCTGCGAGACCGCTTGTCACCGAGGATAACGTCAGAGACGTGCTTCGGGACGCCATGATACATGGTGCGGCGGTTTTGGGAGTCCCATCTAAGGCGACGATTAAGGAGAGCGAGGATGGTAGCTTTGTGCTCAGGACGATCCCGAGAAAGCGATTGTGGGAGATTCAGACTCCGCAGGTCATTAAACCGCCCTTGCTCAGGAAAGGGTTTCAGAAAGTTAAAGCGGAGAACCTCGACGTCACCGATGACGTTTCTATTGTTGAGTGTCTCGGTGAACCAGTGAAAATCACGAAGGGTGAATATACTAATATCAAGCTAACTACGCCGGAGGACATGAGCATCGCTGAATCCATTTTGAAGCAACGAGTATCTACGCCCGCGTCATAGAAGGCCGTGTAATACACTCTTTTGGACAAGCAACCCGCGTTCGACCACATCTCGTTTGATTGCGAAGCGGAGCCGTGGGCTTCGTGCCTATTCTGGAACTATCTTTGTATGTCTTAAGTTAGAGTTAGTAAGTTAGTTGTCTGCGATTTCAGGAACCATGGCTGCATCATTATTTTCGTCTGCAGCCAATAGGTCGGAGGCTTGTCGTGACGCGGCATCGAAAAACATGTCATCGTCCTCGTCGCTATCATTGTTTTGGGTATCCTCGCGGACCCTGCGATCGATCTCTGCTCCTGAGGAACCCTTTGGGACTTTCGCGCGCGTGTCTGGCAAATCTTCCATGCGATCTGAACCATCTGACAAAGTGGGAACGGGGTCCAGGGCATCGTCATCAAGTCCCGTGTTCTCTAGTGTTGGTATTGCAAACGGATGAACGTGGGACGTGCCTTCAGCCGCTGTAGATGGACCTTCACCACTGAAGAAATCACCTTTCCCTTGCGTTCCCGTCCTTCCTAGTCTGTCCCTCTCCAATTCATTGGTTGTGATTAGACTAGCTTCCGAAGTGTGCATTCGTGTTTCCTCGACAATCTCGCACACTTCGTTGCTTTCCTCTGCATTATTGATGGGGGAACTGCGCTGCGTTTCATCGGTATTGACGTGGTCAATTATTGCATTTTGGCGACTTCCAAAGTCCTTGCTCTCACCCATAGTGGATGAATCTCGTTTCGGCCGTTGATTTCCCGACTCCGCCACAGATTCAGGATTCTCGTGTGGTCCTGTTGCAGAAGCTTTACTCTTTGTGTGCCAGTTTATCTCCAACTCAATCAGTGCGGACATAGCTTCTGCCAATTGGAGACAACGAACAGCATCGACCGATGAATCTGAAAAGTATTGGTGTGCGCTTAGAAGAACAGACCGCAGTTTCCGCAAAACCGTTTCCCTTTGTTCATTGATCAATTGAATCCAATGTGATTGGTCTTCGTCGACTTCCACACTCAATATCCAAGAAACAACGTTTTCAGGGATAACTTCCCGTCCAGCGTCTGTGATGACGCTGACGGCCTTCTTTCGGCAAGCCAGAAGTGCCGCTTCGCTGACAGATGCAGATTCTTGCCAAGCAAGCTTATGTCCACGTCTAGACTCGTCAAGACGGATCAAAATTTTTGCAGCACGATCAAATTCGTGCCACTCGATCAAGCTTGTGACCGCATGTCGTTCCGCATCTCCTAGTGCCCCCGAGCACCCGCGCGCCGTAAACTTTTCGTAAACTGCAGGTGGAATTTTCGATCCTGCGATGAGTTTCCGAAAGAGCAATACTTCCTCTAGTCTGTCCAAAGACGCCAGGAATAGGGCATCGTTCCCATCTGACCGGCGTCGTTCATGAATGACGCAAAGGCGGGTAAGTAAAACAGCATTCGGGATGCAGGCACTTGTCTCGCACTCTTCTATCAAGACTTGATCAACTATTTCTTGTGAAAACCCCGTTCTCAGGCGTGAAATCGCGCAGCGTATCGGAGAGGCGTGTATCGCTACACGTGTCTTCAAAAGTGCAAGAAGGGGAACGTGCAGGAAAAAGATTGCGAAGTGGTGCGCCAACTCTGCTTCCTGTAACCCAATAACTTCCGAGAGTGCAAGGAACACGTCTTTCGTCGCAGGATGTTCTCTGCCTTCTGTTGGCAAATCAGCAGAGTCAACGTGAAGGAGGCGAGAAAAATACAGCTTTGCAAGCCATACCTGCTCCGCCTCGGAAATATCTCGCCTTGGCCGCAGGATATAATCTGACCGGCTTCTGATGTCCATAGAAGGATGTAATGCATGAGACAGAATAAATCTCTCGCAGGTGAGCATGTTCCCCTCTTCTTTCGAGGATCGCGTTCTCTTTCCGCTGACGTTAGCAGGCGAGGCATCTCCCTTCATTGCCTCAACTGCAAACTCAAGTAAGCCGGCCCCTATGTCATCTTCCATGAGCTGTTTCCCGTACTTAGCCACACTGTTCTCCTCTGCTACTGCCCCTTCAGGTAAAATTTCTGCAAAAACAATTGCGTATGCTTCGGCAAGCCGGCTGTGAGCCTCAAAACGTGACAGAAGGTCTCGATCTTCCAAGCTTGATGCAATCTGGGCGGCCTTGGAGGATAGCGCGATGTGAATCTCAGGGCGAACGTATGAAGCGCAAGTTAGGACAGCCGTCATGAGGTGGGCGACTTTCTGCCGACTGTCGCGGACATTTTGCAAACATTCGACCGCAACACTCGTTTGCCCTCGCTTCACGGCCTCTAGAAACATGTGCAAGGACTCGTAGTCAACAACCGACCCGCTCTGCCCGGTCCTAACCGCTTCAGTCATATCCTCTACCCCATTCACTGTTGCCGAATGCGCAGTTTCCAACTCCTCCGCTTTGCCATTGGGTTGTTCCTCTTTGATACCCGCGGCAGCAACACCCCCGCTCTTTCTTGAGCGCATTAGCTCGTACAGATGTCCGTCTGGTGAGATGCAAAGCGCGCGATGCATGGCAGATTGCACAAGCATGGAGCCCGGTCGCAAGCGAAAGGCAGCTATTCTCTTCACATCCAGGGGCCTATGAAGCTCAAGGACGTTGAGGCGAGGAGCAAGGATGGCCAATAATGGACCTCCCTGGGCAACCCAGGCAACGTGGGCGTCTCGGTATCCCTTCAGCACTCGCAGCACGCACAAGTCTCTTGAATCCTGGACGAAAATCCGACCTAATGTGTCTGACGTGGCCAACAAAGAGCAAGGGAGAGGTGCGGCAGCAATTCGCTCGACCACTCTAGCGTTTTGGGGCAGTTTGGCAGCAAGTGCTACCTCTTCCCCAGCAAAACGACTTCGTTGTGATGAAAATGCATTTTCGGAGTTGCTCTGGTCTAATGCAGTCTCCGCGAGTGCGGTCTGATCTCCATGAAGCACTGAATCACTTAATGGTCGCGAGTTTTGGGATCGCAAGCCATATGAAGCGGCAATATCGTTGATGTCGATGGATTTGCGACTGCGAGACAAAACGGCATTGACCGATTTTCGAGCAGAATCACGGACATCACGAAGGTTGATTGATGCATTCGCGGGGGTGGTGTCATTTCCCCATGAAATTATAAAGCGGGCAGCGCCTGTCACAACATTCCTTTCCTCTTCGGTGGGGTTTGGGGCGGTTTGTTCGCCGGTGATGCGTGAGAAAAGAAAACCTTTCGCGACAGAGAGCATGGAGGACGCAGCCCGTTTGGCGACATCACGGGCAGAAAATGCCGGGCTGTTGGTAGCCGAGTAAGCTGCTAGAGCCGGGGCAACCCCGGCACAAACTATTCGCAACGGTGCCTGGCCAGGGGGCAGGTCGAGATCGCAAATAGACGCTGGATCTGTTGAGCAAGCTGCGACATCAAGAACAGCGCGCTGAACGTTTGTGTTCCAGACTGTCCACCCCGCCCCGCGAAGATCGACGAATGGGGGGTTGCCGCGGGAGACAATAGGACCTAACTCTGACAGCGGGAATTGGACAACGGTTCCGCCCCAGCCGACTATGGCGACTAGAGCAGCGTTTGAGGAAGGTGAAGGGTAGACTGGGGTGAGTGGAGCTAGCTGCAGAGCCGGATAGAGACGGAGGCGGCGAATGGGAAGATCGGGGGCAGGTCGGGTGATAAATAGTGGCTCGCAGGTGAGTGTGGAGAAGATGGCGACATATCCAGTGGCGTAGCCGACGCATACGTATGTAGTTGGGGCGTTAGATTCCGCTAGAGAAAGAGAAAGGAAGCAGACCGAGGTAGCAATGGCGGGATTGTTGTCGACGGATAAGAGCAGCGGAACACAAGAAGGGCGCGGGGTGAGGGATACGAGAGCGACGCGGCCTTCATCGCGTGACACGAAGGCAATGTGTGAAGCATCGTCTGACGCGGACACGACGCGTACTGCGGAGACCCATGGCGGAGGCGGAGCCTCGTTGGTGGAGGGAGATGGGGGCTCTGGTGAGGTAAGCGGCCAGGTCCAGCTCCACTCTGGCGCGGCCGAGGCGCGGGGGATGCGCAGTTGAAGAGCATGCGAGACTGCGGAGGTGGAAAAGGAGGCGCGGTGGCGGAGACGGAAAGTCATGACGCGGAGCGCGGAGAGTTAGACGGGTGAGGCGTGGTGCCTTTGGAACAGGGAGGGAGGGAGGGAGAGCATGACGTCTGGTGGATACCTACAGTATTGCGCTACATGTACTGGAAAGCGATGCAATTGGATTAGCGAACGAAGGGTAGCCAGGTGTCGGAGGATGAATAGATCGGAAGGGCAGGGAGAGACACAGTTGCGAATGGGGCCACGTGTAAATTGGTGTAAGTCAGTGTAATGTGCACTGCTGTCCCCCTTCCGTGTGGTCCAGTTAGGAGGAGGAATGGTGATGGATGAGCGTTGATTGTTGAGCAATGTCAGCGAGGGGGCCCAGCACGGCCTCGCCAGCGGGCCCCGTTCCCTGTTGCCCGCTCTTTTTCGATTCATTCTGTGGGACAACGACACAAATGCATTTCCTCCCACCTCTCCGCTCCCCCTCGCACAGTCCTTCCTATCGCCCCTTCTCGCCCGCACTGCCGTCTTCCCGCCCGCACCGCAATCTTCCAGCCCATGACCCCCACCCACTTCGGTCGAGCCCCTCACCTCATTCCACTCGTTCTCCGTATCTCCCCAAACCATGGCCGCCTCCGTCGTGCCCTCGCGTGCACGGGCGGGGGGTCGCCTCCCGGAGCCCAGCCCGGGCCCCACTCCCACCCCCTCTAGCCCCACGCAGGAGCCCTACCACGTCCGCCTTATCCTGCAAACAGATTCCCTGCGCGGCCCTGCCCTGTCTTCCTCCGAAACCTATGTCATCCGCTGGCAGCGCGGCACTCGCCAAGTCAAGACCTCACGCCCCGCTTCCATCTCTGCCACGGGCAACTACACCGCAAAGCTCTCCCTTTACGTTACCGTCCGCCGCGCTGGCCCCGCCTTCATCGCAGACAACCCCGCTGACCCGTTAGACTCCACAATCCAGCTTTTGCAATCCCCCGACGTGGCCCCCATTGCCGAGACGCGCATCGACATCCCCGGCTTTCTCCAGGCTCTGGTCCAGGCCGGCCGCAAGTCGCTGCCCCTCTCCCTCGCACTCGCCCCGGCAGTCGACCTTGGTGCCACCCTCACCTTCAACACTATTGGCGGAAGCTCCCTCACCCCATACACAGAGCCCGGACGCCCAGCACCAATGCTGGCCGGTATGCCACCGCACTCTGCCCTTGCGCTATCTGATCCCGGTGAGGCCGCTGCAGCGGCCGAGCTCGAGCGCTTGCGTGCGGATGTCAGGGAAAAGGAAGGCAGGATTGATAAGCTTGCAGACTCTACCGACAAGCTCGACCGCGCCGTGCAGGAGCAAGCCCGTCTGGCCAATGGCGCTGTTCCGGCGGGGGACGTCGCGGCACTGCATGTGCGTATCAAATATCTTGAGGAGGAGAAGGCTTCGGTCGAACGCGAGAAGGAAGAGGTTGAGAAGAAGGTCGCCGCACACGTTGCTCATGCGCAAAAGATTCGAAACACTTACAACCAGCTCGCAGGCTGGTATAACAACTTGCGGAAGGAGCACGTCGAACTCCAGGCAAAGCATCCATCGCCGATAGGAGACCAGACCACCACCGACAGGGAACTTCCACAGGATGTGCCCACCACACATGAAGCAGAAATGCGCAGCCTTGAACGAGAACGCAATGAGCTGCAGGACCTGCTTGACCGCGAACGATCGGAAAAGAAGGAGATTCATTCACGCAATTCCGAATTGCTCGAGAGCAAGGCCCGAACGCTGGTCGAACTGAGAGAACAGTGGGACGTTACTCAGAACACACTGTCCACCACACAGAGGTCTAAAGAGGAACAGATGGAAAAGCTGCACGTTCTAGAACAGTCCGTCACGGAATTGCAAGCCCAGCTGGAAATCAAAGAAGCGGAAGTGTCCCAGCGGTCGAGAGAACTTGCCGACGCGACTGCTGCTACGGAAATGGCCATGAGCCAGCACGAACATCACATTCAACAAGCTGTCAAGGCTGCAGTTGATGAAGCAAAAGCAGAAGCGGAGCGTGAGCTCGACGAGCAAATTAAACGGCATAAAGAGGCAGTCGAACAATTAAGAATAGATGCAGACAGCGCTCGAGACACCATCCGCGAGAAGCAACGATCGGAGCTCAAAGCAGAGTTCGATGACGAGTTGGAACGAATCAAAAAGAACGTTCAGGACGAACAGGCGGAGATGTATGCTGAGAAATTAAGCCTTCTTCACAGTGAACGCGATGCAATCGTAGAGGAAAAGGAAGAAAACGTCAAAAAAGCGTTGGCAGAGGCCAAGGAGTCGTCTGCGGCAACTGCAGAGGCTAGACAAATGTGGGAAGAGAAGTTGACAAGAAATGAGAAGGAACGGCTTGCGCTTGAGGAGAAGGTACGAGACCTGATGCAATCGAGTGCGGCATTAGAAGAAGAAAAATCAAGGTCTTTAACTACGATGGAGGAAGCTCATCGGAGCGAAGTCACGGAGCTTCAGAGTGCCAAAGAGCATGTGGAGGCCGAACTGTCCAGAGCGCAGGAAGCCCTAAAAGATGAGAAGAAAGTCACTCCTAACCACGGAGATAACGAAAGCGTTGTCGTTGCAGTCCAGGAAGAGTTGAGGCAAGCCAAGGCGGAGGTAGAAGCTCTGCAAAAGGAAAATGCGCAAATGCAATCTTCGCCAAGAGACGTGCAAGTGACTGGAAGTGGAAATCACGAAAATGCCGCAGAGCTTGAACGAGAAATTTCAGAATTGCGAGTTCTTCTCAAAAGAGAAAGTGACAAGAAGTCAGAGGCGACCAGGCTGCTGCAAAACGCGGATGCAGAGCATGATGAGTTGCGCGCAATGGTGACTAGACTGCGTTCAGAACGGGATGAAGCGCAACAAGGAGCGAAACTAACCAAGAACGATGTCTCCAATCCGGAGGTTGGCCCGACTGCGTCAAGAAGTGCGTCTAACATAGAAAATCATCTCGACTCTTGCAACTTTTTAGAGGAGAGGGACAAGGCACTGAGGGAAGTATTCAGGGTAAGAAAATTGATGAAGAAGGAAATCAGTCGTCTGAAGAAGGAGAATGACGAGCTAAGTCGTCAAGTAGAAAACGAGAACCGCACGGACAGCGAGGGTGTAGAGCGATCTCTTACGGGCTCCAGTGCACCTGAAGTATCAGAGATGAAGACTGAAAGGGACCACGCTCTGGCGCAGCTGCAGCAACTGCGGGCAAGTATGAATGAGGCGAAAGAAGTGCGATCAGCTGAGTTGAACAGAGCTAAAGACAATGCCGAAGCTTCTATAGGAGCTCTCAAATTGGAGATGGAAGCTTTCAAAGATTCTGCGAAATCCAGAGAGGAGTTGCTTGAAGCTAAAATTGCAAGACTCGACCAGGACCTTAAACTGGAGGTTTCTTCATCACATGAGCTATCTGAAAAGCTTCATCGGAGTGAGGCATCGCTAGTAGAAGAGCAATCAAAGGTGCATGCAGAGCGTCTCGCGAAGGAGAAGGAAACGACACGTTTAGGAACTCTTTTAGAGAATTTGAAATCACAGGAGGCTTCTTTGTCCACTGAGCTCGCCACTGAAAGGGGTCAGCGCGAAGAAATGCACCGTTTACTCTCGGTAGCAGACACAAAGTTGGCAAAATTAGAGACAGAGCTTTCGCACGGGCAAGAGAGCCGCCGTGAAAACTTGGATACTATAAGGACTATCGCAATCGAAAGAGATCAAGCGCAGGAGGCATTAAAGCAAGCTGAAAAACGCCTCGAAGTGTCTCAGATGCGTGTCTCAGATGTTCAGCAGGAGCTATCCGAAGCAAAAGAGAAGTTACAGAATCTGGAATCTTCCCGAGAGTACCTCCAGAAGGAGGCAAGCGAAGTAGGTGGTAGAAATCAAGCTGTCGGTGAGGAAGTAGCCGTGCTGCGGGCAGACCTCAAGCAGACTCAAGTGGAGTTAAGCAAAGCGTTGCGGGATCTTGAAATTGAAGTGCAAAAGGGTTCCCATCGTGCCGAAAGAGAAAACGCATCTACACTAGAATTGCAAAAACAGATTGAAGCGCTAACAGCCGAGTGTAATACCATGCAATCCAAGTATGACGATAAGGTGAAGGCGTATCGAGCCGTACAAGAATCCCGCAAGAATATTGATTTGTCGTTAAATGAAACTCAGGCTAGCTTAGCCAGCCTAGAGCAGGCTGTATCAGAGAAAGATGAGAAATGTCACCGGTTAGAGGCAATGCTGTCCGACGTGGAAATGGCGAGGGAGCAGACGACTTCCAAATTGAAGTCTTCTAATCAAAATGAAAGTATAGCAAAGCAGGAGCTCGAGAGGCTGAAAGCAGAAATCAATTCTTTAACGAAAGAAAAAGCCATTGCATCTGAAAACGTCAGAGAGTTAAGTGCAATGCGTGACCAGCTCAGTGTCATGCATGAGGAGAACGTGGAGATGGTCTTAGCGGAAAGAGAACGAGCTGACCGGGAAACAAAAAGGGCTGCGGATTTGCGGAAGGAAGTACAAAGTGCAATGTTAGAGGTTGACAACGTAAGGGCTGAAATGGAAGAGCTGCAAGCAAGGTGTTCCGAACTGAAGAAGGAGAATGCATCATTGAAGGAGGTTGGAGATGAACGCGAATCAGATTTGACCAAGCGGACCGACGATTTAATTGGTGCTCGCATGTCACTTGCTTACGCACAGGAAGAAGTTGTTCGATTGCGAAACCGGTTAAGAAAACTTGCACAGAGTGGTCAGGGCAGCTTGTCTTTTGAGCAATAGAAGAAAGCGAAAGCGATTGAACCGCCCCGTCGCAGATAGGCAGCACACGAGAGAATCCCTCGTGAATAGAAACCTGTGGTCATCGATTCCTACTAACACGAAAGGAGAGCGTTTGCTTCGGCCTCCAAAACTCCTTCTACTTGACATCTGCTATTTTGAACACCCCCGCGAGAAGAGCTTAGGCATGTTTGGTCCATGATCTCAGCGCGGTGTCACAACAAATCCGAAACACTATTGCTACAATGAGCTCTATTTAAAACTAAGGTCTGTTTATTTTACTTCACAGGCAGAGTCACAAAATTAGTAAAAACTTTTGTCTGACGTTTCTAATTCAACTCTACCACCGCAGATGGAACGTCATTTAAGTGGCATCCAACACTCCTGTGACCCCTCTCCAGTGCACGTGATTCAATCTCCTGTCAATATTGCCTTGGCACGTAGTCTGTCGTGCCTCAGATCTGGGAATATGGACATCAACAATTCAACCATTTCCGTTGCCGTCGTCGTCTCTCGCCCAAGGTGGCACTTCACCCGTGAATCTGTAGTCAAACAAGAATTCTTCCCCTGGTTCTACAACTCTCTTCGTAAACAGCGCCACGTACGCATCTCCTCTAACTCGCACAAGCTTACTCGCGCAGTTCTCTTTGTCTCCTGGCTTCGTGTGGTTGCAAAACTTAGCCTTGCTTCCCAGTAGTCCCCCATCGATAACCAATGACTCAGTGACGTTGAAGATATAGGTCCGGTCAGTGGCATCATACAACCTACCGATCATGTCTGCGAGACGGGTGTCGATAAGCTGACCGCTGTATGCCCCCACAAGATCACCAGCCTCGAAGCGCTCACCGGCAAACAGTCCAAACCCATGAACGGGTGAAGTGCCCACAAAAGTCTTTTTATGCTTCGCAATCGATGCTGGAACGTTGCGACATTTGCGTTTCGACAGCGAGATTTGTCCCGGTAACAGCGTACAGTCGCACCCGCAGAAATCTGGGCTGCAGGCTCTGTTCTGATCCCAACAAGGGCATAAGGAATCATGGCAACTCCCTTCCTCACAAGCACATCCAAAGTGCCGGTTCCTGCAGACTCGAGCACTGGAATTGCCTAACGACTCAGCACGAGGTTCGATCCACACAATTCCTCCGGTCTGTCCCCCTTCTCCATACCTTCCGGCATTGCAGCCGCATGTAGTCTCACAGAACATTCCCTTTTTCACGCAAGTACAACTTTCTGTTGTGCAAGGCCCATTGTGATGACATGGCACGAAATCTTGATCCACCGCGCAAGCAGTATCAGTCTCTTTCTCAACTACAGTCTTAGCAGATATCTTATTGTTGTTCTTGTTGTCCTTGTCCTGCGAACTAATTTGTTTTCGCTTGTTGGCGTCCACGCGATGCGGTTTCCGTGCTTTTTGAATTTCGTGCAAGGCGATGTCTGTTTCGATATTGTCGTCCAGTTTCATCGAAACTTCTATGCATGTTCGAGAACCGAGAATGACAGACAGCGAACAAGGATCCATACCAAACATCGGTACTCCTTCTCTCAGCAGGACAATCTCTTGGGGAGACCAGTTTTGATCGAAATCAATATCTGTGTCTTCAGGAACTGCAAGCCAACAGTGCTTTGAACATGGTAAAGCTTTTTCCGTAACCAGCTGCTTCTCTCTTGCTGAGGCAGCGAGATCTTCTATTGGCAAGACAGGCTCCACATCGACATCAGCATGTTGCGGGCACGGAAAGCAGTGACATGTAAAACAAAAGGCCTTCAAAGGGTTAATTCGAGCGCTCCAATCTTCTTCCAGAGGCATATCATCTTCGACAGGAATGGACTTTGCTTCGGCCACAGCGCGAGACATTTCTTTTTCCTTTTTTTGTCGGGCGCTTTCGGATCTTTTCTCATGCCTTCGGTCCTTAGCAACTCTCGCAATTGCTTTAATACGTCCCGTCTCCTTAACGCCAAGTGCAGTCGCAAGAACCCTCCATACCGACTCATCGAATTTCTTGCCTTTAAATTTATCAAGAACTGCCAGAATAGATTGACGACATCCCTCTCTCCATCGCGCTTGAGCCATAGAGTAATAAGTACATCTTTCAATATCATCCTTCGGCAGACTGAATCTTCCATCTTTTCCAACTTCCCCATCGCTCAAATCCAGTTGCTGCCCTGCATCATCAGCCATATCCTCGTAAACTTCGAACGCTAGTTCGCAATCGTCATCCTGATCGCCAAGAAAAGGCATGTAGGGCTCTACATGAAGCTGCTTGCCAGCCCAGTAGTTGTCGCGAACTGGAATCCAAGTATCATACTTGGGTACTGAAGCAGTCTCCGGCATCTTCACGCGAATTACTCTGGAGGAAACACCTTTCTTTTGCACAGAGGATGGGCGCGTGGCGGAGTTTAGGTTCAAAATCTCGTCGAGTGCACTTAACGAAGGGTCAAATTGCGTGACTTGTTGCTCCGGCAAATCGTCGATTATCTTTTGAAATCGATGGACGACGAGCCAGTCTTGACGACGAATGCAATCGTCCCGATTAACTCGTTCCTTTGGTAAGGATCCTTCTTGCTCCACAACTTCCTTTCTTACTCGCTTTTTCGCGTAGGATTGGCACGCAGATAAATGCCCCAACATTATCCCACTAAGACAAAAATGCAAGATGCAACACATTATGGAATGTATGAAATGACGAGTCAGATGAGCTTCTCGTGCAAGGTATTAGCGAAAACTATAAAGGTTAATATGGACGCATACCTGACTAGGTCTGGGATTTCGTTGACAAGATCTCTGCGAAGCTTTGAAGGCTGTGACTGCACAGAGGCCTGCCCTACCCGGCGAGAAGCCATGACGAAGAAGATAGCCCTTCAACTGAAAGCGTAACTTGATGGCCCGAGAAAGCACAATTGCCTATGTGACACATATAGCCAGTGCAACTGCGATGGACTGCAACCTGGTTTCACTCTTGATGCTACTGCGTTCGATACAACTGGCAGCAACAACTCGTGAAATTGTGGAGTACTGAAAAATTCTGGGCAACGAACGAAGAGGGCACAAGCAGAATGACGTTGTTCACCTGTCTTCAAATGAAAAATATTCGACCAGCGCGCATTGCTCTGTCCATTGATCACAGCATGTCCACCTTCTCGTGTGCTCTTTCGTTTACTGTGTTCTTTGTCGAGATTAGCTGAATAACAGTTGATTAGTGCCGTGAACAGTCTGAACTTTGCGAAGTACCTTTCCAAGAGGGCAAGATTTCGTCTTCTGGGGAAGGTGGGAGCAGGAGCATCGGAAGGCAAATGCGCGGGAAGCCTGTTGATCCACAATTAAATTATCTGCATTTACAATATGCTGCCCTATTGTATCATACTGTACACAATACGTACTGTACGACATGCTGTACAGTGCTGTGTTTTTTAACTGCTCCATGCGACTATCACGCCGATCACGGCAATTAGATCAAGAGAGCCTGGTACAGTACGCAGATCTGCTCTGCCAGAAATACCGTTTTCAGTTTTGGGACGCCTAAATTCTAAACGCCTAAATTCTAAAGGGGCAAAGCAAAAGGGAAGAGCAAAATTGTCATGAAAGTTATTAGAAATCAAATTTTTTGACCAACGGAAAAGAAGAACGAAAGCTTGGACGTTTCTCAATACTAGGAGAATGGATGTTACTGAGAACCGACAGGTGGACACGTACAAGGTAGTGATACCCTCGTGAACGGGCGTGAACAGCAATGTAAACGACCGACACAGGCTGGCATGTCACAGAAGATGAGTGCGGTCCAATTCGAGTTGCAGCCGCACCACGGCGAGAGCGACTGCCACAGCGGCGAAAGTTGCCGCCCGATGGGAAAAGCGATAACGCAATATAGTTTGTCGTCCGAAAGGACGCGTACGAACAGCATAAATAATACAGTCATGCAGATTGTAGAAGAGAGAGAAAAAGGAGAATAGACACGACATTAGAAGGATATTCCTTCCCGGAGCATTGTTCCGTATCACCTCGCCTGTAGTATCGTTCACCCCCTACCACTGCATTTCCAGTTACGACATCATGTCTCAGAATCTTACAACTGTACAGTCAACCACACCGAGTAATACACCCCCATGCAAGGTTCCAACAACATGCAATACTCGCATCTTGCACTAATGAATGGGGTCACACAAAATACTCGTTTACAAGCGTCTGGCGCCTCTCGGAACGACTCTGCTCAGCGTGTGCAGTTAGCAACTCGCGCTTTGCACGGCGCAAATGACAAACTGCATCCTCGATACCCGAATTGTTCACCATTTCCTCCACTCCCGTAAAGCAGGCAATTACTTCCTCAAAACCTGGAATAACACACTCATTTGATTCTATCCCTTTGGTTCCATCTGCACTCGTCTTTTCACCCTGACCCTCATATTGCCCTGACCCTCATGCTGTGTTGTGGTTGTGTCGGTGCCCTTGCGTGTCACTGGAGTAGGACGGAGAGGATCTGTGGGGTCTGTTGGAAAGGATGATCCGTTTACTGTTGGGCATCTTCGTGGCCGCGTCCCCGTCTAGGACAGGTGTCTAACAGCAATGCAAGGTATGATAACCTGTGTTCACCGAAAAACCCCTGCCTAAATCCGGCCCCTGCCCCGACCGTTTCTGACTTCGTTTCAACATTAAATGCCCTTGGATACAACACCCGGCCGCAGAAGGCGAGAGTTGATTAGTTGAAGGAAATGATTTGTGAGCTGAAGGAACTCGTTGACGATTCGAAGGCCTCCATCTCAGACGCACCGGAAAGCAAATTTAACTTCTAGTCATAGCAGTCAGTTCTGTGGAGGTACGCTCGAGAATCAAAACTCCCTTTCGCTCGCCCATAGAGAGCGGCACGAGTATTAACGACAGTTTTTCTGCAACACGCAACTGCATAGCAACAATTTCTTCGCCTGCACCTCTAAGTCCGAAATGAATTCAAATTCAACCAAAGTCAGTGCAGTACTGCCTGTTCATATTCTGATTCTTTAGAAAAACTCGTTCGAAAGTGTGTTTGTTCCTGCTACGTACCAGAGATCTCGTTTTCGTATGTTAGTCTCTGGATTCGCAGGAATCACAAATGTGATGTAGAAATTTATGAATTACGGCATTAGTTCATATTGCAATCGCTGTTTGCATGTTTCCCCCAAACCTTGTCTTATAATTTGTTGCTAATGGTCGAATATATGCTCAAGGAGGAGACTAACATTTTGCAAATGCTTGCCCAGGTTGTCGTCACAACAGCACTATTGGATAGACTGTGACCTATTTCATGCAAGAACCAGAACAATCTGTAGTATGGCAGAGGCCAAATACACGTACCGTAACAGCCGCTACGGGTGCGTGACTAACTCGATCAGTGTTTGACTCCATAAATACCTTCAAGAACTTTTCGCAGATTATTTTTTTGAATTATTCGTGTTGTTTCCAACATAAACCATCCAGCTAACATTGGGATGCTGAAGATGTTCCCTGAACCAAATTGCCCCACAATGCAAAGGGTAAACAGGATCTTAAAAGGAAATCCTTTTCAAGATCAGCCTATATGACGTGCAGTGGCAATGCTTCGGAATTACAAAATGTGTAAGACGAAAGCACGAAAGTTTATCGTGTTATGTGCTCGTCAAGATAATTGAGGCTCTGTCGAAATGGTATCTTTTTTTGTGGTAAGGTTTCAGAAAAAGGTTGAAGAAGTTGCTCAGGGATTTCGTATGCTGTGAATGCTGGGTAGTACATGAAGGATCGTTCCGTATCAAAACAGCGGACTTTGTTATTCAAATACACTTATGACGAAAGAGACCTACCACAATGCTGTGTTGGAACTTTGCTATATCTTTACCATAGTATATAAGGTAAAACCCGTTGTAGTGCATGTTTCTATCGGAGAAGACAGAGCCAAAGACACATGGAATATCATATAGAGGCCCAATAAATTAGCAAGCGTGTGAAAAGCATGACAAATATGCGTGGTGATAATATTCATACGCTCACCGTGCCGTCGCAGTCCATGCTGTGGGTATTGTATATTTAGAAAACCTTAGAGTAAAGATACAGACAGTCTGAATTTTCGATCTGGACGGAAGAAAGCATGGAGAATAAAGGGCATGTCGTCGCAGTGAATAGATCTTCAGAGGTGCTTTGACCAAAGGTCTGAGATAATACACCAAACAAAACATGGACCAGCTAGCGTACCGGGAAAACAACGTAAAGGAAGGAATTCTCAGCGATGCTACAATAGTCCAATGCGTCCCAATTGTTTCTCCTTCAGCCTGTCGCGCAATAAACACGTTTGGCCATCTGATTTGTATCAACAAAATATCTACGCAGAACAAACGCGAAAAGTCGAACTGTCGAAATGATAATGTCGCCAGCACCCGGGCAAGAAAATCTTTCAGACGGAAAAATCGCAGCACTGAAGTAAGAAGGGCGCGAATAATTGTCTTGGATATATAGGATTTCGCACACGTTAGTCGTTTGGCCTGTCGAAAGAGAGTTTAACTATACATTCTTCTCAATAAATTGTTCAAATTAGATAGGAGGCCAAATACTCCCATTCTGTGGAATAGTTCTTCGACGAAGCCCGGCGGAATTTCATAGTCGAACTTGCGTTTCATTTCATTCTTAAAAATGATGAGGGTGCGCATTTTAGACGCTGTTCCCATCTCCGCTGGTCCCACTTCCGCTGCATTATCTCGTTCAATTTCTTCGCGCAGAAGCTGAACGAAAGATGCCGCGAACTCGGAATTTTCTTCCCCTGGGATTGAGCAAGGAAATGCATAGACAAAGAGGGTACAGGAATGTCACGAGATTTGTTCGCAGGAATGCCATACTTCATCACCAACGCATGTCGACCGGGGCCGGCAGATTTGAAGCTGTAGATCACGGCATGTCAGTGCAAGTTGGGCATGTTCAGACCTTGGGGGACGACTATCCTCGCATCTATCATGAAGTAAGGCATCTCAGTATTAAAATGGACGCCTACCTAGAAACTTCCACTTAAGTGATTGTTCACTTCACAAATTGATTCCTCTTTCCCTTGCGTCGAAGAACCATGGCAACTAACGCCCCTCAAAAGCATATCTCTGCACCTGACACATTTCTTCTTCAGAGGAAAAGGGCTGGGAATCGCAGCGACCGCTCTCTGCCAGGTCATGGACAGGAACGAGAGCCGAAAATGACACTTGAACACGAACAAAAAGATGATTCTGAATTCTTTCCGAGAGATGAAAATGCAGTTTGCGATCGTTTGAAGGATGAAGCATCTAAGAGTCTCGCTAACTTCCCTCTCAGTTCCGGCGATGACCAAACGAGTGGAAACTCATCATGCTCTCATCACGACATAGCGGATGAAGATATCTTTATGCCGCGACGCAAACGTGTGCGTATTTCCAGAGGAAATATGTTTGGGAAGTAATCAAACATCTGCCCTGATGTAGGCGTACAATGCAGAGGACGCTCTCCCGTCCGATTCAAAATTATGAACACGATCATCTGTCATGCTTGTAAAAGTTCCGTTTAGGACTGAGAGGGGACGCAAAAATTGCTGTTGGTATGGCAAGAATCGCAGTTTACCACCGGGAAAGGTTGCTGATGCCCTCCCCCCCGTTCTCTCCGATGAGGAACAGCCTCATTTTTTTTTACAAATCATCACCAAACTTTAAGCGGACGCCATCCTCTTGCTTCCCCATCATTTTTTTAAAGTGTCTGAAGATATGCTACCCCATTTCCCTTTACTATGGAAATGGAAGGCTAGTATTGTTTAAAACGCACGCAACAGCTTCAGAATGTGTCCTTTTCTTGGTTTCCCTTAGCATACCAGTTCCTCGTGATTTCGTGTAACTTGGGGGGGTATTTTGTGTATATGCTACTCTTTTTCGCAATCGCTTCCTGCGCCATATCTCGATTTCGTGTCCTTTGCGCAAAGCTCGACACGTGAGCTGTCAAATAAACCTATAGACAAGGTGAAAGTAAACGAAACTCTGAAAGCTTCGGTTTGTTTCTTAGCTTCTCAGAAATTGTTCTCAGTTCTGCACGGTATTGAACACAAAACAGATTATTGTGACGTTTGAATCAAAGACTGGAGAGAGAGTATCCCTTGACTTCTTCATCACTTTCATCGCATCGAACTGCAGGGAGAAGGCTCTTTTGCCACTGACTACCAGCGTTCTCAAACCTGACTAGAAGTTCGATCTCTACAAAAGTTGCAGGAACAAGCATGAACGAACAGGATATGGGTGCCAGAACAGACTCAGATGGGATGAATTATTGTGTTACTCTCGAAGATATTGATATGGATCTTCTTGTTGGTACTGGCTTCAATAAGACTGCGTTCCGAGAGAGCCCTCGAGATGTAGAACCGACAGAAATGACGGTTGAAGACTTGGATCCAGACTCAGCTTTGTTGCAGCCCCAAAGTTTCTTTTCTGTGGATCTTCTAGGTGAGGTTTCTCCGCGCAACATTAGCGATGACCGCGAGCTTCCATTGGACAAAGAATGTCTAGTGCCGTTTCTTTCCGATAGTAGGGATTTCGATGGCCCTCAGCAGGATCCAAGCGAAGCTCGCCCGCATACCGCATTGCTCTCGTACCCTGGCGCAATAACAGCGGAGCCGTTATGCACGCAGCCCCTCTCCCTTGATCAACTAGTTGCACTTCCTGAAAGTGTCATGCTCGATGACGAGTTCGCGGCGTTTGCGTCTAGTCCGTTTGCTTCAGAAAATGGATGGCAAGACGTCACACCCATGACGCTTTCCACATCGCCAGAAAACGCCCCGCCTGCATGCTCGAATCAGTTGCTTCTGCTTCCACCGGAAGAACAGAAACCGCCGCCCTTTCAAAAGCAACAATATTCGCAACTTCAACCCGTACTTGGATCAGTCGACTGCCCGACCACTGCGACTGCAGAGATTGATTCTCGATTAAAGACTGAGAATATCCCTGTGAAACCGTCCAAGAAAAAGAGAGAAAAAGTGAAAGATGGTATCAATCGCGGTGCAAAGGCTGTACTAGAGACTCAACCGGTCTCCTTGGGACTCGACAAGGCACTGAAGAAAAAATTAAGCGGTAGGAGAAAGGTATGTTAACTTCCCAGCTTTTAGCATACGTACAAAGCCAACAAGCAAGACTTACCCTGACAGCACACTAACGACTTGCCTGCTCTCTGATTTATACTTGCGATCCTGCCTTCGTCCATTGCTGGTGACATGGCTTTTCCCTTACTTCACTTGACAAAAAACTATTCTACGGGTCATCATGAATCCTGGGATAGGCCGGCGCAAACTCCCACCTTTCTTTAGAAGAACGGAAGAAACTACGAGCAGAGAGAAATCGAGAATCGGCCGAAAAGAGTAGAATGCGGCGAAAGCAGATGGTCTTGGAGTTGGAAACCAATGTCGCGTTTCTGCGCGAAGAGAACCGAGATCTCAAAGCGAAAGTTGAAAAATACCATGGGCAATTGACTACAGCAAGTGAGGAGGTGACCAGGAGGGCAGGGGGGAGAGGAGAAGGTGCGCAGGTGGCGACGATGGAAATTCCCATGTTGTATGAAGCGCTGAGCGCTTTGCAGAGGTGTGTAGAGGAGTGTCCGAGAACGTTTCACCGGGGCCCACGTACTCCTGTCATTCCACTCAATATCTCCAGGACGCCACGGCGATAAATCTTGCCAGAGTTGACAGGCATTTACAAGTGTGACTCTTCAAGACAAGGTGCCAGCGGAATGACTTCAACCGCTTCGGGTTTTCGGTGGCGCTGAAAGGGGCCTTTACTCGTGTGGCGTAGCAATCAGAAAGGCGCAGATAGGACTTAGACAATATCCCATGGGCCGCGACAATAGACAAACGCTGCGGTAAAGGGTTGTCATGGCGTTTGAATTGCTTGACTGGATTAAAAAAAAACAATCACAAGGCTATCTCATGAAATTTGAGGCTTTGTTGTGTCATGAGACTTGGGCTTGAACCATGAAAGGACTTCTTCTTCGTGAAAGTGAAGCTCTCGGGCCGGAATGACCAGAGAGTGCAAGGGCGGCCCGAAGTCAGTTTGACGTAGAGTGCCCAGTGATGCGTAAACGATTAGCTGGTTTGGTTGGCCTATCCGTGCGACGCCCACAGCCATCGTATCTTCCACAAGCTCGTCGGCCTCTAGAATAGAGTCAATCTCTAGCAGTTGGTCGATAGCCTGGTTGACAGTCATGTAGCGAGGAGGTTCATAAAGTTTTTTCCCTCTAGCAAGGCTTTCCAGGGAAGGCTCTTTGACCTTGATATCGAGGAGGCAAAGGGTATGTAAGCCATTTCTTCTATTCTGGAGTAACTTTGGGTAGTAACTCGTCGGGCGGTCTGTGTCAGTCCAGAAACAGAGACTGATTGCTTGTCCAAAGAGATAGAGCTGCAGGCCGGTGACAGCGATAGCATTGATGATGGAGGCATTGTGCACAACGTTAACTTTTAAACCTCTCTCTCTGGCACGAAGCCAGAGATCTGTGTGTGTCGTTGCGCCAAAAGGGTCACCGATAACGAGGAATGCGGCGCCTCCCGGTTGAGATTGGGCATTTGTGAGGATTTCCTGGGCACGTTCTTCAACAAATTCGCGGTCTGCGATGCAGACAGAACGGCCGTAAGCCTTCTCGAGCGCTGGGGCGGAAACGCCTAGAATTGAGGTGTATGCTTCGAGATAGACGACTCCTGCTGAACGAATGAGGTCCATGCCACGTAGTGTGACATCGCGCTCGTCGCCAAGGCCAAGTCCGATAAGATGCAAGACGCCAGAGGAAGAGGGAGCAGTAAACTCTGAGGAAGCCCTTTTAGAGGGATCCTCGTTGAGAGGCGAAGGAGACATCGTTGAGGGGCGAAGGAGACATGTCAAATGGGATTCTGAAAGAGCGCTGCGGGTGAATTGCGAGCATTGAGTGTGCCAGAGGGAGAGGAGGCACGAAATCGGGGCCACGTTTTTTTCTTTGCGACCGATCGGTGGCTGTAATGCATGGTGTAATGCGAAGGACCGTCTCAGAGCCGTCTCAGAGCCGTCTCAGAACGTTCTCAGAGCGTCTTTCAAGTTTGTCCTAGTGTCAACCGTTTGCTGCATTCTCGAGCCAACTCAACCGTGCACCAAGCTGTCCGGACAGTTTCCCACAGTGTGAACTGTCGACATTCTCTTCCGCCCTCCGAGACAAATGCATCGGACGCCACATGGATCGTCCGCCGCCACCGCGCCGCAACCGTCCCCCGCCGGGGCCTTCCTCACGCGCGAGTCGTCGCCGTGGCTATGGCTCTGGTTCCGGCCCCGGCCCCGGCCCCGGCCCCGCTAACGGCCCTCACCACCCTCGTACCCATTCTTCGCCAAACCGCCAAAACGCATTCTCAACCTCCCCTTCCCCGCGTCCTCGCTCCAAGAATCGTGGCCGTCGTCGCGGCAACCCCTCCTCCGCCAATTACAATCCCAATGGAAACGCTCCTCACAATCTCGCACCCACTGTTGCCGTCAAGCTCGTCGTTCGTCGCTTGCCGCCCACCCTCACTGCTGACAAATTCGCAGAAATTGCAGACCCCGCAGGTGCGAGCAGAGCCGTGTGGCGATCTTTTGCCCCTGGAAGCGCTTCGGCTGCATCGGGCCCCGTCAAGCGCCTGAGGCTGGTTACTCGCCATGCCACTGCCTATCTTGCATTTGTCAACATGGATGATGCCGTGGCCTTTACTCAAACTTTCAATGGCATCAAATTCCAAGATCCTAATGCCCCTCCCTCTTCTCAGAATCATGACTTTATTGCACGTGTTGAGAGGGCGCCCTGGCAGCCTGTTCCTCCTCTCACCAAGATAACCAAGCCTTTGCCTCTACATGGCACAATTGAGCGCGATCCCGACTACATGGCTTTCGTCGCCCGTCTCGAGGATGAAACCAAGAAAGAGCTTTCCGGCGCTAATGCGCTTACAGTTGCTCAGACCAGCGCCATATTTTCGAGGGGTCCAGGAAGCAACCCGAGCGACACCCAAAAGAGGGATAACACCTCTGCTAGTGTCTCGACCAGTACAGGAAAGGCTGGCGCCTTGGCTGTCAACGGTTCCGAGCTAAGCACCCCACTTATGGAGGATGTCCGTGCCAGACGGAAAGAGAGGGATAACAGGAAGAAGACCACAAAAGTTACACCAAGGGCAGCGAGGGGAAAGGCAAGGCATCCGCATCCAAGTGATTCGCCTCATAAGCAGCAGACAGAGTCACCGGGGAAAGTGACATCATCGATGAGGAAAAAGAAACAGCGAGAGCGCGCGCGAGCATCGGAGATCGCTAACGCAGCTAAGAGGCAAGAAGATATGCAATCAGCCAAGCGAATCGGGAGTCCGGCGATTGATAGTAAGCGCGGAAGCAACGCCGAGCCCCGCCGTGATTTCGTTGAACCTAGATTGACAAGCAACTTGCCTACGCTTCCCAAAACCGGCGGTCATCCAAACGGCGGGACATCAGGAGTCCCGACTGCGTTTACCAAGCAGAGCTTACCACGGGGGGGATCGGGACGTTCCAGATCTGGACGCGGTCGGCCTAAAGGACCAAATATGACTGTCCCTCCTGGTGCGGCGAACGACTCTGTCGACTCTCGCGCATCAGTAAGAGTGCTCAGGAAGGACCTGAGAAATGGAGGTTAGCTGCCCAGATGTATTGAGGATCCTCAGCATGAGTTTCCTCTGTCCAAATTTGATTTTCAAGTGAATGATATATGCCTTGTGCGATTTACAAAGGCGTAGGGTTCAGTGAAGCTACAAGCTCTGAAAGGCAACCAAACGTAATTTCTTGTCTGGGAATAGTCAATGATAGCAGGGGCTTCAATGACTGAGTGATGGAGAAGGAGGTGATGTTTGTCCAGACTTTAATGCAAGCTACCGTCTCTTCTGCAACATTTCCCTTCGACTTGTCGTCTACTAGACGATACGTGTGCCATGATGCGCTGGAAGAGCAGTTTGGTTGAAAGCATTACTGGTATTGTGCTTGGCCACTCAGTATTATTGATAAATCGCGCGCATTACTACGAGAACGATCACTGCGGCATTCCACTGTGCTGTGCTATGTGCTCCTGGATTCGAGAGCGGAATGTAGTGAGGAGGAATTAGGGGCGCATCTTGTTGCCTTCTGCACAGACGCATTGAGGGAAAGCGCCATAAGTGCCGGACTTCAAAATGACCTCGAGGTCAAGCTGCTTGCATCGCCTGAAGCTAAACATGATAGCTGGGGAAAGTAGTTGAAGAATCGAGTGTGCTCTGAATTAAAACAACGAGAACCAGCACATAGGAAGCGAAGTCTGTATTATGTGCGACAAATTGGAACCCCGTACCCCTCGACGGGACTTGTCATGCCTTATTTCCCACATGTGAACGTCAGACTCATGGGGGAAACGTGGATATGACGGGCAAAGAAGAGGAGTCTCGGTACGGCAATGCCAGGGTGTGATTTGCATGCAATGTGACCCAGTTCACTTTTGCAGAATTGTAACCAATAGAAAAAAAAAAGTTGGAACGTGGCGGTATAAACATCTAATCCTACTTCTATGACACGGGCTGCAAAACAAACTATTGGACACGCGAACGTGTCGGTAGATTAAGACCATTGCTTATTCTAGTCTCCAGTCGATGAGACAGCGATGAAAGTTGGGGTGTCTCAACTTTCGAATGGCGCGGGCCTCGATCTGGCGTATTCTATTTGGTGGGACGCAGTAGATAGCACCAATCTCTTCAAAATTCTTGCTCTTGCCGTCATCAAAGCCGTAACGCATGCGCAAAACTTCACGCTCTTTCGGTGTGAGCATGAGCAAAACGTTTTCAATGTCGTCCCGGAGCAATCCGGCCGACACTGCTTCCTCCGGAGACGCGGTAGGGTTCTCAATCATATCTCCCAGTGACACCGACTTGCCATGATCAAAATTATTCCCAAACAGCGGCACATCCAGGGACACCGTATCCGTCTCCAACGTCTTGTTCAAAATAAAGCTCAATCTTTCCTCCTTAATCTCAAGCATGCGTGCCAGCTCGCTATTCGTAAGTGGCCGGTTATTTTCCCTTTCAAAATCACGTCGAATTCGCTTTGCCTTCTTCGCAATGTCATTGACATGCGTCGGCAACCTAATGACGCGCGATGAATCAGAGATGGCTCTCTGAATCGCCTGTCGAATCCACCACGACGCGTACGTAGCAAAGCGAAAGCCCTTGGTATGATCAAACTTCTCCGCGCCCCGAATCAAGCCCAAGCTTCCCTCCTGAATCAAGTCTGCCAAGCTGATGCCATTATTCGAATACTTCTTCGCAATGCTAACGACCAAGCGTAGGTTCGCGCGCACAAGCCTATCCTTATACATCCTGGCCCGATTCAAATCGGCCTCAAACTGGTGCGGATCCTGATCACACGCGGCAGCCCATTCCTGCAAGCTTGCGCTCCTGACTGCGGGAGAGTCGCGATCCTTAGTGGCCCTCGAATACCTGGCGGAGATAGGGACGTCGCACGGCTCAGCCTCTCCGCCCTCCTTCGGAACGGGAGCTGCGTCGAGCTCGCGCTTGATTCCTTCCCAGTGGAGGAGAAGGCGAACGTGGCGTGCGCACTCGACAACTTCATGGCCCTCCAGCAGGTCGACTGAGCCGATCTCTTTCAAGTAGGCCAGGAGGCCACCGTCGGAGAGGTCCGAGCGGCCGTCGTTGAACGGGCGGCGCACGGGGCTGGCTTGCTTGGAGGAGGCGGGGGCGACCGAAGTGATCGGCTTGGGAGCTGCAAGCACCATGCTGGTGCGGCGCGCGCGTCGGATGACCGGGGGGATTCGCAAGCGGGTCGGGGGTGGCACGGTGCGCAGGAAGGGGGAAGAGGGAACAGGCATGGGCGAAAAGGCAACGGCGGGGGCCATGGCTGGTCGGGATCTGTGAACAGAAGGAAGAGGAAGGGGAAGGATGTGGATGCGGGCAGAAGGTAGGCGGGGGAGGGTGGGAGACTTCAGTCAAGGCTGGAAAGGGCAAATAGTCTGGACGGGGGGAGAGGGGTATCTGAGGGCGAGAAGGGTAGGGGGGGGGGGGGGGTGGCAGGGGGCTGAGGGTTTGCACCTGGGGGTTTGCGGGCCAATGGCATGGGGGGGATTATTCAGCGAGGATGCGGCGGTTGGAGATCTCGGAGTGAAGTGTACGAGATATTTTGGCGAGTGCTGGCAGCCATCCGTTGCCCACCACCCGTCAAGGGTCTTGATGCTCACGGAGCAGCAACGCGTGCCAATTATTGCGCTAAACTAGTGGTAGAACGCCTTCTGATTGCAGCCGTAGTCAAAACAACCATGTTGGATGTTCCGGTGGCGGGTGGCGCATTGGACCGTACAGTATTTCTACACTATATCAACAGTGCATTACAGTGTACTATAATAATAATAAATATAATAATAATAATATGCTGTCCGTCTAACGTATACAACGATGACACGGCATCCACAAGAGACACGCGCAACATTGAGACACGTGCAACTGTGAAGAAACAATTACAAAAGATTGATATACTGTAAGCATTACGTGAGTACATGGATTAGATCATTAAAATTGGATCTAGTTAGCGCGTGGATACCAATACGTCACTACGCCTTCAGCAATAATACAACGTCATGGTGCCACGGCGAGATGCAGCAAAGCGGACAAAGGAAGTGGAGGGAGCATTGCGAGCGGAACGGACGCGACGCAAGAAACAAATGAGCCCGGCAAATATGAATGTTGAAATGCTGAAGAGTATTCAGCAATGGCGGTAAGCAAGGAGCGTAAGTGTACAAGCGAACAAAGCTCATCCGGCGGGATGAGGTGACCTGAATGCAAAAATGCCTTGCGCAGCACGGCGATCAGATACGAACCAAAGCCTCTAGAGACGTGTAACGCAGCATGGACGAAGAGCAATGCAGCGAGACGACGTTATGCAAAAGCGACAGAGCGCAATGCGGAGTGTACGCGATAGAAGCGATGCGATACGTACTGAAGCGCGATAAATGCAGCGATAACAAAAGAAGAGAAGCAGCAAAGAGCAAGCTCTTTGTGCTGAAAAAACGTGCCACCGCTTTCCTTCCGTAGAAACCATCTTTCAGCTCCCCAAACCACTACTATATCCCGAATGAGCTCCTTATGTTCACCCAATCTTTAACAGTACATTGTACAGTACACTACTGTATAGTGCTGGCCAAAATGATAGGGACACACCCAATTTGCATTGCTGCAAGCTCCTTTTGCCCCAATCATAAAACAGAAGGTGCTCTCTATACATATTGGTCGTGCTAACCACGATAAAAAGACGGTTTTATAAAAGCAAAAATAGCCTTGGAACTGTAAGGCCAAACGTGGATACGGCGGGGCCAAAATGATAGGGACAAGACGTTTTGCCCCTGCTCTGGCCCGCAAGGATGCGCGATCCTCCGTCTAGTGCTTTTTCGGACCTCCCCTAGCCAGGTAACATTCTCTGCAGCGGCGTTGCATTTGCTGGAATCTAAGCGATTTAAGGCACTGTAAGTCCGACGGCGCCGCGCACCCAGGGTGAGCTGGGGAGATCCAACCAAGTAGGGTGGTACAGTACCGAGAAGGGTACATAGACGGACACTAACGATTCAGCACAATAAAGGGGGGGGACAGAGGTCCATCTTTCCTTTCATGGAAGCATCGCAGATACCGCTACTATTCCTTTGGAAACTACCTTCTCTCTGTAGCTCTTGACGGTTTGTGCTGATACTAATAATGCCTACGGAACGAGAAAATGATGCAGTTGGCAGGCTACCTCGTTTAGAGAACTCAGACGACTACATCCTTTGGAAGCGTCGAGTTTACGCCTATATTCGACGTCATGATGCTGAACTTCTTGGCTTCAATCAAGAGCCCGCAAACAATACGCCTGCTATCCGCAAGAAGTGGTTCGAAATGATGACCCGCGCCAAAAGTATTATCGTTCTTTCCCTTGGAGACTATCCACTTGCAAAAGTTCGGACTATTGTCGACGATGACGATCGCACAGCTGAGGAGCTTTGGAATGAGATTGAGAAGATCTACACGGCTTCTAACACACAAGCCATTCTTAATATTCGTCAAGAAATGGATGATCTTCGCTACAAAGAAGGGTCCAGCTGGGATGAACACCTCAACAAATTTACTGAATTGCTGAGCAAACTCGCTACTTATGACGAAGAATTGTCCGATAAGGACAAAGCTTCAAAATTGCTTCGTACTTTGCCAGAATCGTTTAGCGGCTTTGCCATGATCGCGCAAGTCCAGGATCTCGAATTTGAGAGAATTGTGCAAGCTATGCATGCCGAAATTTCCCGTCGCAAGAGCATGAGAGCGTCCAGCTCTCGCTTGGAATCATCCACGAAGGCTACCACCGCCATTGCCAATGGAGACAGGAGCCGCAAAGATCGTCCTCCTGGCGGTCGAATCACAAAATATAGGCAATCAAACGACGGCTGCTACGTATGTGGAAAATCTGGACACTTCGCTTCAGAATGCTGGTACCGTGCGGATAGAAACAGCTCCCTTGGTCGTGCTCGCGGACCAGATCGCGGCCGTAGATACCGTGGTCGTGGAAGTCGTCGCATGTTCGGACAGAATCGTTCGCCTTCTTCTCGATTTTCTGGTCCCTCCTTTTATCAACAGCGTCACCGTTCGATGAGCAACACCTGGAACAATACAGTCAATGGTAGTCAAGGTTTCGTACCACAGCAACAACAGGGCGGACAGCCTCCGCAAGCCAACGCTCAACAATATCATCTTCGCCATCCGCCTTCGAGCTCAAACGATGGGAATTCTTTTCAGGGGTTTATGGCAAGGATCAAATACCGCACTTCAGTTGCGTCCATTAGCCCAAAGAAAACCAATGATGCTCTCATTGACTCCGGTGCCACACATAACTTCTTTCACTCCAAAAAGGGTTTTCAAAACTATCGTCGTCTCAGTGAGGAAGTCATCTCCGCTTCTGGAACAAGTAGGATCGTTGGAATTGGTGAGGTCTTATTGTCTCTTCACGGTGGCATGTACGTGGAAGCTTACCATGTACCGACCTTTGCAGAGAACATCATCTCTGTACACGGGCTGTCTAAGACATTTGACGTCTTATTCGCCACCAAAGATGAAGGCACTAGTCACTGCAGTGTCAACTTAGCTGGAACATCAAGAGTTGTTTTCGAGACCGAATCGCAACATGGACTGTACAAGATGAACATCTCCAATGACCAGCGAGAAGTTGCTTTCTGCTCTGCACAGCCGGAACCGGACAACTCAGGCCACTGCATTATTTGTACGACGGTTTTTCGCTCTTCTGATCACAACTCATTCCAGCCAACACCATTTTTTTCTCAAAGCAAACCATTTGAGTGGCATTACCGCACGGGACACCCCAGTCCCTCACGGTACCTCCGACTTGCTCAACTCTTCAAGGATGTACCACATTTCCCTCGAAAAACGTTGCAAGATATGCTTTGCGTCCCGTGTCAACTCGGAAAAGCACGTAGGGCACCTGTTAGGCGAGCACAGACAACCATTGTATCTCCGCTCGAACTTGTGCACGCCGATATTGCCGGTCCGGTCACGCCCACAACTGCTGGGAGCACTTACTCTCTCTGCTTTGTTGATTCGTTCACCGCAAAATCTGACGTGTTCTTCTTAAAGAAGAAGTCAGACCTTCCAAAATTTCTCACCGAATACAAGATGAGATCGGAGCGACAGACAGGTTTCCCCCTACGTCAGTTACGTCTAGATGGTGCCGGTGAGAATCTGAGCGGCGAAGTGCAAACATTTTGTAAGGAGAACGGGATCGAACTCAAGCCATCACCGCCGTATGCGCATCAGAGCAACGGTACAGCAGAAAGGCTGATACAGGAATTCTGGCAACGCACGAGAGTCCTATTATTTGCATCCAAATTGCCGGATTCTCTTTGGGCGGAGGCAATGCACCACGCCAATTGGCTCCGCAACCGTCTTCCGTCCACTCGAATTCAAGGTGACATACCAATTCTTCTTTGGTATCCGCACACAAGAATACACTTCAACAAGGTCCCCGTCTTTGGACAGCCCGGTTTTGCATTTCGATACCGCTCGGAGACGGTCCCAAACAAGAAGTTCCTTGCACGCTCCATGCATGGACATTTCGTCGGAATGGAAAGTGACGAGACTCTCTTTCGAATCTACGTTCCTGAGACCAAGTCGATCATGTTGACTACAGTACAGGACTTCCGACCATATCGTCATGAAAAGCTCCCTGGTGTTGCGTCTCTCCTAGACGGACATGCTCGACAAAGTGAGATTGAGAGCTTGAACAACAGTGACGGACAGGCTGAAGAGGTACTCATGAGAGCCTTTCACGCCTACGCATACACCAATCTAGCCGAACGATCCCACCACCGTGGACACAAGACATTCATCAAGCGCTCATTGCGCGTTGACCCACGCCTTCCACGCTCGTTCGCTGAAGCCATCACCTTCCCAGACTGGAGGCAGGCCATTGATCGCGAGTACCATGCTCTAGTCGATCGCCATACCTGGCGGTATGTGCACCGTACCGCGGACATGCACCCCGTCCCGTTTACGTGGGTGTTCAAGCTGAAGCAACTTGACGCTCAAGGCTTAGAGCTGCTGCCAAAAGCACGCTGCTGCATCCGTGGAGATAAGCAGCAACCACACATCGACTTCGACCCACTTAACACGTATGCGCCCGTAGCCAGTCATGAAGCGATAAGACTCCTTCTCGCGTTTGCAGCCGGCAACTGCCTCATTGTCGAAGGAGCTGATGTCGGAAACGCATATTTGTACGGCCACCTCGACGTCCCGATCATCATGCAGCAGCCTACAAACTCCACAGGAAAAGAAGCTTATCCCGGTATGGTATGTCTCCTACTCAAGTCCATTT